AATAAAAAAATAAAATCACCTCATATATCAGATTTTTAAAATCACCAAAATATCGGTGTCATTCTTAAAAGTCATATATGGGTCAGGCTGTACACTCCACAAAGAAAGCATTTTATGAAGATGTTCACCTACTCTGATGATGGATTATGTTAACCAGATATTGGGAGAATTGGTAAAGAGCTTTTGGGCAGATTTGTCAACTCATCCCACACTTTGACTAGGTCAAGAGTTACTTCACTGAACCAAAGCAGCACAATATTAAGCCTGTGGTTTTCCCCTTCAGTGTGTATGAAACTCATGAGCAGCTCATTATTTCATGGTTTGACAAATGACTCTGTTACAAACTGTCAAGCAGAAACCACTGAAAAAAAGAGCAAGTTAACTGGTTTGTTAGAACTGGTTTGGAGTTAGACTAGTATCCTGGAGGAAGTGGGTGAGCTCTTCACCTACTTCCTAAATAATAGCTACAAAAGTCACAACTCTGCCTAAAGGTTTCCATTTCCTGTGCAGAGGACACGTGATAAGGCAGTCAACTAAAGCTTAAAAGACCCAACGCTCCCGACATCACCTTTGTTTAAAAGTTTCGGAAACATTTCCCCCATCTCTACTGTACATTTGAGAAGGATGGATCAGGGCGGTCTTCAAAGACAACTTCCTCTCCCACCCTGCTGAACTACCATTAATTAGTTGCCCTTTCTCTTTTCCTGACAGGCTGTGTAACTGCAAATGCCAAGTGTGACCAATGCCCATTCATTGTCAATACAACAGACTACAATACAAACAAGAGAGAATATGGCACATGCATACATACGTGCTCCTCTTAGTGGGATTATAAAAAGCGCTGCTTAAGTGAGACAGCATTTCATGGTCTATTTAGCTGGTGAGGGAGTGTTCCTCCAGTGCGTCTAAATGTAGAGATCAAGCTGAGCAAACTCAAAGTGTGCAAGATGCTTACACTGCACCCACACACACACACACACACACACAACTCCTCTCATAGTCTCCTTTTTGTCCTCACCTGCACACACATTTGAGCAAATACAAAGACCCTGAAATTAACGCTGAAATTCCCTACGGCACACTATAAGGGAGGAAATAAAGTCGCTCCAAGCCATCAGGAGAGAATACAAAAGTAGAAAACGGGTGTGGGCAAAGAGGGTTGTTCAACACCCTGCTGAGAGAGAGGAAATAAACACTTCCATATGCGATCCCTGCCAGAAATCCTTGTGCGTGCGCGCACACACACACACACACACACACACACAGGGAGTCTGGAGTTAATGCAGTGACACTGTGTTGTAAATTTGAGCACGAGAGTCGTAGTTAACAGCTCGCACCTCCATACGAATGGGATGGAATATTTTCTGCTTCCAGAAATTTATAGCTGGTAAGGCCTCGTCCATCACGGGCAGCTCTGTAATATAATGAAGTTTGGAAAGAAATACACTGCTGCGAAGCTGTAAGACTGGAGTTTCCTGACTAGTCAGGTAGCAAAATGGCTGGTGAAAAGGAATCCAATCTTATTTCTTGTGTGTGTGATTGTGCGGTCACGTGCCCACTAAAAGGAACCCACACACACACACACACACAGCGTAACTCCTGCCTGGGGAAACCCGTGAACTCTGGGCCACTGTGCCATTGGTCATGTCCAGAAAACAAACATTAACAGTCACTTGCATTACAAACACTTCTGAGAATCGTCACTGGCTACACTTCCTAGCATAACACAATTACTATTATCAGTATACACTTCATCCACCCTCAACTTTAAGCCTAAATACAATCCCGACTGTAGATCATATACAGTATCGTTAAAGCATCCAGCTTAAGTACTAACACCAGCGCGGGCACGACATTAATCTGGTCCCATCGCAAAGCCTCTCTGATGTGATTGTGTGTTCCTATAAGCATGTGTGTATCATCCATAGTTTGTTTACATATGTGGAGCAGACAGTCATCTTCTTAGGAAGATTAGCCATAAAGAAGTTCCAGGGTTGATCAGCTGGTGAAGTTTTTTTTATAATGTGCATGCTTGCTTTCAAACACAGCACTCTGTCTCTGCAGTACGTGTGTGTGTGTGTGTGTGTGTGTGTGCGTGTGTGTGTGTGAGAGCATTAAACTACATTGTGACAGAGTCATCAGCTGCTTGTTTCGAAAGGGTGAAGAGTTAAGAGTGCATGCCTATGTTTGTAATAGTCCCTAATTACATAATCCAGTTATTCTCCCACAGCTTCAGTATACACTGAAGTGGACATCTGATGGTTTGGCCTCAGCAGTGGTTCTAAGGGTGTGTCTCCTGCAGTGTGTGTGTGTGTTGCTTTCTCACCGATACCCAAAACAAACATAACATAAAAACTCAGCAGTGGAGCTGGTTGCAGCTCCTTATCAGCTCAGATTAGAAATGCCCTTGCATGCTCACAGGTCTATAGAAAGTCCAGACAACACAGTATTCAGTATTGGAAACCCTACCCCCCCCCCTCCTCCTCTTTATAGAGCTGGCAGTCAACATGAAAGTCTGAGTGTGTATCAGCGAGCCAAGACAACGAAGCAGTACCTCTCCTCACATCTCGCTTGATTAAAGTGAGAAAATGGCACAAGCTCCGGGTAAAATTAGGTGACTTAGATTTTACAGATGGCCCTTGTTGCCAAGCATATTTTCTCAATTAAGGCTGATTAGGGAGGGGAAATTCCCTGACAGCGTGAATTATTAAAAACTTGAAATGGAGTCTGATCATGTGACGTTGTACAGCAGTGACACCCGACATTCCCAGATGAATGAAGAAAACGAAAAAGGGATTGGGGGGGGGG